ATATATATATATATATATATATATATATATATATAGAGAGAGAGAGAGAGAGAGAGAGAGAGAGAGAGATCTGAGAGGAGAGAACTAGCTAGAATTGAAAAAGAAGGAGCCAGAGAAGGAGGAGGATTCCAGGGGCCAGCCACCCAGCTAAACACACAGCAAGCCACGGAGTAACAGTAAGATACAGAAGTAAAAGAATGGGAAAAGCCCAGAGGCAAAAGTTAGACTGGATAATTTAAGATAAGGAAAGCTGACTAGAAAATAAGCCAAGCTAAGGCCGAACATTCATAATTAAGAATAAGCCTCCATGTGTGATTTACTTGGGAGCTGGGGGGTGGGCCCCCCAAAAGAGTGAAAAACGAGCATCCACAGACATGCCACAAGGCCAATCTGATGGAGGCTGTTTCTCAGTTGAGGTGTCTTCTTCCCTGGAGTGTCAAGTTGACAACCAAGATTAGCCATCACACCATGGCGGTTTTCTTTATGAACTGGGCACCGTAAGAGGTGAGCTGTACTCTGGTGGAACAAGTATAACAAACTGTATAAAAGTTATGTGAGTATGGTATCTCTCAGGACATCCAACCGTACTGTGGATCTTGGCCACCAAAATATGCATTTTTCCCCTTTCCTTATTGAAACATTTTTTTTCATTTACAGAAGGGTTTACGCCTTCTCCTTCCACATCAGTATCCCCAGCATCATTACTCTTGCGCTTCGTGATCATTATTAAAGAAAATAAGGGTCGCCGGGCAGTGGTGGCGCACGCCTTTAATCCCAGCACTCGGGAGGCAGACGCAGACGGAGCTCTGTGAGTTCAAGTCCAGCCTGGGCTACAGAGTGAGATCCAGGAAAGGCACAAAGCTACACAGAGAAACCCTGTCTCAAAAAACCAAATAATAATAATAATAATAATAATAATAATAATAAAATAAGGGTCACTTTAACACAAATCCTGAGTTACCGTGACTGTCAATCTGATAACAAATGGACCAACGAAGACCACAGTGTAGGTGTGCTAGAGAAAGGGGTGATTCAAACCTGGGTGGGACAGAGCAGAAATACATGATTTAGGGGAAGGGGTCTATTGTTAACTTGATGCTTTCCTAGTTTGGATAAAAGTACCTTTCAGGGCCGGGCGGTGGTGGCACACGCCTTTAATCCCAACCCTCGGGAGGCAGAGCCAGGTGGATCCCTGTGAGTTCGAGGCCAGCCTGGACTACCAAGTGAGTTCCAGCAAAGCTGCACAGAGAAACCCTGTCTTGAAAAACCAAAAAAAAAAAAAAACTTTCAGAGATGTATACTAAGTGCTTAACAAAGCGTTAGGATGTTTGCATGAATAATAAATGTAAGTTAAAACCGTGTATTCATACTAAATTCATGGGGAATGCATGTAAGTTAAAATTATTCACCAGTCTGGTATTCTTTGCTACTTGCCTACCTATATCTGTAACTACTCGTTTTGGAATGCATTAGACCAGAAAAAAAAAATGGTGGTAACATTACCAAAAAAAAAAAAATCTTAAAAGCAGGTCGTTTTCAGTTCACGGAAGTAAGTTGGAGACGGAAACAAACAAAAAAAGCAATCAGACGCTCAGAAAGAGCCCCAAAGTCAAGAGGAAAAAGAAGTTTCTGTAACCCCAGCGGGATATTTAAAAAAAAAAAAAAAAAGAACAAAATGCACACGTCCACCATGTGACAGCCTTGGTTGAGACCAAACAAGGACCTGAGCAATCTCCGAGTTGGTCTTTAGTCTGCTTTTGCCCTGTTTTGCCACCCACGAGTGAGCCAAGAGAAGCCAGGAGAAGATACTGAGACCAAACCCGGAGTGAGGAAGCGCTTCTGTGCAGACTTTTTACTTGGACCTGAAATATGGAGGCGAGCTAAGGACCGTGATGTCCAGGAACGTCCGCTTCTGGGCTCCGGGGCCCCGCCCCTGTCCTGGCGGCGCCCTCCCCCAGCGCCCTGCCTCCTCCGCTTACCACCTCCGATGGAACTCGTGCTTCTGTTCCTCCGTGATGGCTAGAGGCTTCTTCTTCTTCATAAAGCCCAGCAGCTCCCGGGTCTCCTTCTCGCAAGAGGCCAGGAGCGGGTTCTTAGCGTCCAGGGGCCCGTAGAAGGCGGCCGAGGGCAGCGTGTCCTCGGAGCAGGTCCACTGCGGCGGCGTGTTGGACGAGCTCGACTTGGACTCGGTGGGCGACTTGAGGATCGCCGTGGAGGTCGGCGGCGGCGTCGGGGGCAGCTGCACCGGCGTCACCGATATCACGGTCTCCCGGGACGTCTCCGAGGACGAGCTGGAGGAGGAGCTGGAGGTCGCCATGTCTGTCAGAGCCAGCACGCTAGGGGCCGGTGTACACGCGGTTGCCGGGCAACGGTCTCCTGGCAACAGAGCCACCGGCAAGCTTTCCGGAAGCACGGCGGCCCCTAGAGGGCGAGGGCAGCACCAACCGCCTGGAGAGGCAGGATGCTCGAAAATGGGTATTTGTGAATAGACATGCGTGCGTGCGCGCGCGCGCGCGCGCGCGCCCACACACACACACACACACACACACACACACAATCAAATGAATTTAAATATTTTTATGTCCATTTGGTTGTGTAACCATATGGCACTGATGTATAATGCATAAATAACTTTCTGTTTTGTTTGGAGGTTTTTGTTTGTTGTGGAATTTTTTTTTTTTTTAATTTTAGAAGGACCTCCTTATGTAGCCCATGGAGGCGGGGTGGGGCTCAAACTCACTATCCTCCTGCCTCCGTCCCTTGAGTGTTGGGATTCCAGGCATTCACAAACAAGGCAGCTAGAGAGGGAGTTTTAAACAGAGAAGCAATAAAAAAAAATTCCTAACAGGGGGCTAGAGAGATGGCTCAGTGGTTAAGAGCACTGGTATTCTTCCAGAGGGACCCAGGTTCAATTCCCAGCACCCACAGTGCCTCTCACAACTGTCTGTAACTCCAGTTCCAGGGCATCTGACACCTTCACAACATTGCACATAAAAATTAAATAAATTATTTTTTTAATTACCATCAAAAATTCATGCTATATTTTTTCCATTTTGACTTTTTAATAACAATATCCAGGGTTACAATAATTAAAATGTGTCTTTATTTTGAGCATTTTGAAACTTTTCTTTTCTTTCTTTTTTCTCTGTGAAAGGTTTCTCTACTTATTCTGTAGACCAGGCTGGTCTCCAACTCACAGAGATCAGCCTGCCCCTGCCTGGCAATCGTTGGGATTAACGGCGTGTGCCACCGCCGCCACACAGCCAAGAAACAGTGCTCTTCTCTTTTAATCATAATGACGTCATACCTCAGCTACTAACATTTCTCCACTGTTTCAGAGCTGAGGAGACCAAAGTCAGAGAACAAAGCGTAGTGTCGGGGAAAAAGTCCTGATTATGTGCTCTGAAGCCAGGGATCATAAGGAGTAAGCTGTATTCATGATGCCCCCTGGGGTTATTTGAATGTAACTGGCCCCCATAAGCTCATAGGGAGTGGCACTATTAGAAAGTGTGGCTTTGTTGGAGTGGGTGTGGCCTTGTTGGAATGGGTGTGGCCTTGTTGGAGTGGGTGTGGCCTTGTTGGAGGAAGTGTGTCACTGTCGGGGTAGGCTTTGAGGTTTCCTATGCTCAGGATACCGCCCCGTGTCTCAGTTGACTTCCTGTTGACTGTAAGATGTGGAACTCTCAGCCATGGCTCCAGCACCACGTCAGCCTCCACCACTGCCATGCTCCCCATCATGATGATAATGGACTGAACCTCTGAAACCGCAAGCGAGCCACCCCAATTAAATGTGCTCTCTATAAGAGTTGCCGTGGTCATGGTGCCTCTTCACAGCAATAGAAACCCTGACTGAGACACCCCCAAAAGAAGCTTCTTAACGAAACTGAAATTAGGAAATTCTCTGAGAAGCTGATTAACACAGGTACGGGCTACCACGACGTTCTCCTCCCTCGGCAGTTTGAGTTGGTGACTATGGGATTAGAATTTGTGCCTCTAATAATGAGGATTACATTTACTATTTACTTGTACTTCAGCCTTATCCTACATGTCACTCTGTTCTAAATTGATGCGTATTTTACTCAGCTTTAACTCTTGGACATTTACACATGCTAATGGTTGGAACTGTTAACTCTCAAAATAATTCTGCATTTTTAAACAGAGATGTGGGAGTTTTTTTGTTTTTGTTTTTTTTTTCTTCTCTCTCTCTAATGGGCAAACTACATGCCTCAGGGGAAATGTTTAACATCAAGAAATGTTCTTTCCTTGCATTTCATGGGCTACATTGAGTCAACTTTATTAATTTGAGGTTTGAATTTCAGCTAGAGGACCTGCTTTTCCTTATAAATTATGCAATGCCAAAAATTATCGAAGAACCAGAGATTTATGGCGGCTTCTAAAACTAGGTCTTTAACACTGAAACTATTGCCGGTTCCTTCACACTCAAAAATATAGATGGTGACCTTAGCAGCCACCAGATGCCAAGACATTCATTAGAGCACAGCCTTATCTATTCCAGATCCGACCTCGTTCCTTTCCAGCCCTATAGATCTGTGCTAACTTGTAAGGTCAGCCTCTTATGTCCTGTGCACCATACCCGAATATTTTGGAAGGAAGGTCACAATGAAATCACTCACTGGAGCAGGTCATTGTGAATAAAGAACCTCCCAGGCAACCAGTGGAACAGAGGAATATCCAGCTGACTGTCAGCGCCTAATTCTCCAGCCAAGACGCAGATATTCCCATTGATTCACAATATTTGATCTCACTCTAGATGGGCAATAAAAACTTTCTAAAGTTTTTAAAGAATGCAGGTGGGGGTGGGGAGATTTGTCCATTGAGCTTTTTGTACACACACACACACACACACACACACACACACACACACACACACACGCGCGCGCTTGGTAAAAGCTTGGTAAAAATCTGGCTTGGTAAATTCTCCCAGTTCTCTTTCAAACCCCCTTGCTTTCACATAGCAGCCCTGTCCATTTCAGATCAAATGCCAGTGCAAATTGCTGCTGAGAAGGATCTATTGTAGTGGCGAATAGGAACGGCAGGAGGCAGGCTCCCATTGAATTAAAGTGGTCAGAAAGGAGGAGAGGACGTAAAACGAAGTGAGTGGCCTTGCTCCTTCCCTGCTTTGGCTGTTTTTTTTTTTTTTACAAATGACCTTTCTCCTAGTGTACAGATTTCAAAGTCACTGGTAGGGGAAAAAAATGTGACTAAACTCAAGTGCTTGAATTACGAAACGTTCTGTCTTAGTCATTGCGCCCCCTTCCCCCGCCCCGCACATGCTTCTGCTAACAATCCTTCACTTGCTGTGGATTTTTGGAAGCCTGTCTGAATATTTAAAGGGGTGTTGGATGATGAATCATCATCATCGTGGCAAGATGGAAGTTTCCATTTTCTTCCCTTTCGATTATATTTGAGGGGTTTTAAAACACATTTTTTTTTTTAGAGATGCTGCCTTCTTCCTGTAATGAGATGCAGGCTTGATGATACCTCTCCTTGTCCCATGTCAATTTCCCTTATTCTCCCTGTAATGAAAGAATAGAAGGAGGCAGCCCCTGGCGGGCCAGGCAACGTAAATAGCTTCCTCATAAATAATGTAAATTGCTGTTTCTTATAATTAATGCCTTTGCTGGCTGCCGAGGTTCTTTCTGCTCATTCAGAATCCTTTTATGTCTTAAGTTATGGTTAGAGAAATAATAAATAAGGTTAGTGGGTTTTTTTCCCCTGTTAGGTATTCATCTGTTAATCATTTAGACTGTCCTAAATAGAATGTATGGTCCTTTAAAAAAGAAAGCACAAAAACCCTCCTTTCCCATGTCACCAACTAATATGGAAACTTAAATTTTTGTTTCTTATTTCTTCAGATATTCATTCAGTTAAATACACTCATTCCTTTGTGTGCCTGTATAATCTACCCATGAGCACACACTCTCCCTGCAAGAAGCCGGTGAGTGTAGACAGTGCCGGGCGTCTGTACCGTCTCTCACGCATATGATAGTCCTAACTCCAGAGTTCAGAGCGCCAATGTTAAGGTTCTTCTGCATATAGTCTCCTTCAACCAAGCTAAACTGTGGAGAAGAGGAGACTCCTAGTGTAGTCAAGATCCACCCCAGTGCCCACTCTATCTGGTTTCAGCCCAAGCCTATTAAATGCAGGATTCTGCCATTCCTGTGGCGCGGGGTCTGTACCTGCTCAAAGCTCCCTGCTCAGTTTGTGCTGAAACCCAACCTTGCTTTCCAGCCAGAAGGCAATCGAGTATGCTGCGGGTATATTTTCAGGAAAACAAGTCCGGCCTTGCGAGGCACCTGCTTCAGATGATGTCATTGTCTACCCACTCCCCCAGGCAAGCAGAAACTGTTGTTGTCGTCTAGCAAGTGGTTAAGGGCTACTTAGGCCCAGCCTGGAAGACCCAGAGGAATTTAGGAATTCAATTCTCAGGCTGTGTCTCTAGGCCCCACTCTTGGAATATCTGCTACATAATCAGATCCTAGGTATGGCTTCCAGCAAACTCAAACTGCATTTGCCCCAAGCTGTAGCAGACACACTGTCTCTTTTGCCCCCCAGGACAAACAGGTCCCTGGGGCTCTCAGGTAGATGAGCAATCCAAATCTAAAATCCCATCTTGATGATTCCTTGTATTAATTTCATATTCCTACTGTGTTAACTTAAGGTTTTCCTGAAAAGATGAATCTGAAGAAAAGGTTCATGGGAGGCTTTATTTCTGGTGTGATTCTACTAAAACTGGACTGAGGGAAATGGGAGCAGGACAGGAATGGATGTAAACAAAACCCAGTCCGACCAGTGAATCACGAAGACACAGTTGCTCAGCCGTTGGGTATCTCTCACCAACTATACGCTATGTCTTAGAATATACAAGAATAGGCAGAAAGTATACATACTGTCTTCCTCGTGGTCAAGAGTCATCCCTGCACTTCCAGCTTGGATCGCCTGGCTCCTTCGGCAGCTGTCTGTAATACGATGTGCTTGATCTTAATTCAAAAGCCAGGGGAGGAACCAGAAATGCCAGACAATGGCTTCAGCTTGTAGAAAGAGCCAAGCAGGCTGTTGCTGAGGGCAGTCCCCACAGCAGCTGTTAGAATATGCAGACAGGAGGGGGGGCGCTTCAGTGTGAAGACTGTTATTCAGAAAGCTGGCTTCCCTAAGGGGAAGCTGCTCCAGGAAGATGGGAAGGGAGATGGGAAACCCGAGACAGAGCCTGAGGTCTGCCTGATACACACCGTCATTCATTGCTAATGCCTGCAACAGTAGAGGGCAGAGCAGTGAGAACCGAAGGCGAGCCTGACTCCCTAAAACCGTGATGCCACATACAAACAACTATGTGACAAAAACAACCTGTGTTTGAAGTGTTAGAAATGTCCTTTGTTTTGTTTTGTTTTGTTTTGAGATCAGCTTTGGGTAATGAGAGGCACACGTGTAGAAA